ATTGCCAAAGTTTGCGCATTGCCCGTGTATGATAAATATGTATATCTTTTTCTAATATTTTTGCAATCTCAAAATTACGTGACATTACTTCTGAATCAGATGCATTTAAAGGTATATGCCATAAGTATATTACTGAAGAACCATGCTTACTATCATGTATAAATTGTGCTACTTTAAAAGGTAATCCTTTATTTAATTCCTTAATGTATCGATGCTTTGGTCTATTAATAAACTTAGTTAAAAATAATCGGTAAAAAGATTTATATTATTATTAATATAAGTAACTATTTTTGAACCTGAACCAAAGTTGTAAATGATATACAATGAATTATATTACATTATTGGTCTAGTTTCAAAAATTATTATCCACATACTTACACGGATTCATTTGGAAGAAATGATTCAATATTTATTGACTCCCAATAATTACTTTTCTCAAGAAAATTAACCAAAGTTTGATAATGATTAATAATATGAGATTTTCTAATTAAATTTGGCTGTAAAATAGTAAGAAAGCTATTATTTTTGTTAACTAGTTCAAAGGAAAGATAATTTTGTGTTGTGGTTATTAATTGTTTTTGCAAATTTTTCTGATATCGAGACAAATTCGTAGCTAGTTTTTCTAATGGATTAATGAGCCAATGAAATGCAGATCTTTTAATCCACGCAGATGAAAAAAAAGAGTGAAAAATATTTACTAAAAAATTGTTTCCAGTATTTGAATAAAATATTTGAATGATATACAAGTGTAGTTTTATTAAATCGGTCTCTTTTTTTTTTAAAGCGAGTTATATCATAACGTCCAGTAAACTGTTCTATTTCAGTAGAAATACTACAACCACGGTTTTTTAACTTTTCTGGATCACATTTATCTATATACCATAATGCAGAAGCCAAGTCTTTAACAAATTCTTTTCCAGTCATTATAGCAGTATCATTGCTCCATCCACTATTATTTTCATAAATCCATTCAACAATATCATATCGTAATTTTTCTAGTATAGTTGAATGTTCAGTGATAGTGAAAGTTGGTAGATGATTCAAGTTGGTAGCATTACTCATCATTTGTGCAAAAACATTAACTGATATTTCAGAAGATAGTGATGTAGAACTATCTGTTTGATAATACTGCACTCTGTTTCCCCACG